TAATATATATCTTTATTGATTTCAGAGAGAGGAAAGGAGAGGGGGAGAGAGAGAAACATCAATGATGAGAGTCACTGATCGGCTGCCTCCTGCACACCCCGGACTGGGGATTGAGCCAGCAACCCGGGCATGTGCCCTGACTGGGAATCGAACCCTGATCGCCTGGATCCTAGGTCAACACAACTGCTGAGCCACGCCCGGCCGGGCTCACCTTCCTTTTTGAAGCAATCTGACCTAGTAGGATCTTCTGCTCCCTATCCAGAGGTTTGTGTAATGGCACAATGCCTGTGGGTGTGAGATGGAGCTCTTGGACTTTCCTGTATGTTTTTTTATTGAAATACAATTTACATGGCATAAAAGTCACCCGTTCCGGAGGCTAGGCTAGGCCAGGCTCCAGACTCCAAAGTGAGGTGAGGCTTTGTGAGGCTGGGCTCCAAGGCTATGCTCAGCTCTCCAAAGCCCTGGGGCTCAGCTCGACTCTCCCAGGCTCAGAGGCTAGTATTAGTCTTTAATGATGTCACGCTGCACATTGACAAATCGCATGCTTTGGTCTTCTGTTGGCAGTGGCTACTTACAATGAGTCGAAAGGTCCAAGCACCAGACTGGCCTGCAGGGAACATACACTCATTCCAACCCCCCGGTTCTTCTGAGTTCCATCATGGGCCTGTACAGAGCACAGCAGCTGCCGTGGACTGGTTTCATTTGAGTGCACAGCAACTTTACACGGAATTACAAGAACATTTACACACCTTCCACAATGCTCCTATCATCAGGAGCAAAGACCCTGTTATCAAAAGGGATTATACCTAGGGCTGTGCAACATTCAAAAGGATCAGATCCCTTTGAAAGAGTCCACAGTCCATTCAACACAAAATGACCCAGGCCATGGGGAAGTCCTGGTGTGCCAAAGATTGCCTTACAGGAAAGGACCCTTAAGTGAGCACACTTGGCCTTGGAGCCAGAGGTTGGAAGAGCTCCTGACTCTCGAGGGAGAGGGGGCTGTGCAAGTCACTCTCGCTCACTGAGGCTGGCTCCCATGGTCCTGCTGGAAGGAGAGGTATTGTTTGTGGGTGCCAGCCAGGTGGTTCTACAAAAATAGTCTAGGTGCTCAATTCGAGATGGCGAAAGACAGGCTTCTTCAGAGAAGGAGTGAGACATGGGAGACAAATACAGGATAAGACACAAACTGGGCACACAGCAGACACTGAAGAGCCTATAGGGAAGGCCTGCCAACCAGGACGGCAGGTCGGCATCACCGAATGGCCACAAGCAAAGGGAAGACAGAAGGCTCTCTGTAGGCAAGGCTGCCCCCCTGAGGCATGCCATCCTGCCCTGCATGTTCAGGAAATGGGGCTCCCGGGAGGCGTGCCCACAGCCTTGAGCACTAGTGTAGACATGGCTGTTGAAACCCCAGAGGCAGAAAGTTGGTTCTTCTCCTGGGGCCACGCTGGCAGGAGCGTACGGGGCCAGTCTCTTCCCTGAGGCCCAGGCTTCCTTCTGTAAAACAGTGGCACCCAAGGACCCCTATGGTTATTGGTGATTGGACTCTGGGCCTTGTAAGTTCTGATCCCCAGATAGCATCTGACCTGGGAGTTGGAGGCTGTGAATGTCAATCCCATCTCTCAAGGCTAGGCTCGGCTCTGAGTCTCCAAGGCTATGCTCCAAGTCTAGGCTCAAAGCTAGGCTGGGCTCATAGGCTAGGTTTACACACTAGGTTGGGTTCTGAGGCGAGGGGAAGCTTAGCTGTGGGTATTCTAGCTTCACCTAATCTTCAGTGCAAAGGGAAACTGAGCTCTCAGAGCCAGAGAGTTTGTTTATACAGACAAGAGTCCCTGCCCCTGATCCCTGATTGGTCCTTTCTCATGCAGATGATGATTCCAAATCCTTGCAGTTGGTTGGGTTCAAAAGGCAAAGGTCCTGATTAGTCACAAGGGAGCCACTCTGGTTGGTAGAGCTGGTTAAAAAAGGATTCCACGAACTCCTTTATAAGGGCTGCTCAGATGGCGGGAACACTGTGGGGACAGACAGCTCAGTGCAGGGGCTGGTCGTGTTTCCCTGCAGGGTTCTCCCCAAAGAGCAGTTTGCTTGAGAGGCCCCTCTGCAGAAATGGCTGCTAAGCTCTGTTTTTTAAAATTTGAGCCCAGTTAGCCACCAGAAGCCCTTCTTAGTAGCTGTCTTCTTTCTCAAGGTTCACACTTTACGTTATAAAACCTTCTTCCCCCAGCCCCAAACTGGCGAATCCGTTGGTGTTGAATGGGCACCAACGGCCGCTGGCGGACACTCGGCACATCTTTTCGCCTCTCGCCGCCAGCACCCACACTCCTCTCCCCGCCTCACACGGAGGAGAAGGTGCCGGCATCCCGCTAGGGAGCTGG